TATTATTACCCCTAAGCTCTACCGGACCAGATATAAGCCATCCTAATGTCGATTTAATCATAGATGGACGCCTAGAGCCTAAAGATATAGTTTCTCCATTTACAATATGAAAGAATAACTCGGCTCCAATGAGCATATCAATATCTTTACTTATAAAAAACTGTGGATCAGCTAATATAAACTCCGAAGGTATATTCCACCTAGCAATATTAATATCCATATGAGGAAGTGGAACAGTAATTTTATCAGTAACGTTGCAATTAAGTATATAAGTAGTATTAGAGAATGTTGAATATATTTTTAATGTAGTATAATATTGTGTAATCTTAGGAGAATTACCAATGCCTTGTATTTGGCAACTGTGTGAGATCAATTTTGAATTTAATTTGTCCGTTAAGTTTTTAGTTATAAAATTTACTTCGCTGCCCGAATCTAGTAATACGCGAGCGTTTATCCAGTCGCCCCCTTGAGTACGCAACCTAACTATTGCGGTGCTTAATAAAACCGTACCTGGATATTGAGTAGGCCTGGCGACAAGAGCAGCTGCATGTGGGACTGATGTCTCTATATTACCCGACATTGTATGTTCATTTGTGGACTGAATAACAGGACTAATCTCGCTTTGAGTGGATGTACCTGCCCTAGGATGCATATTCATATGTAAAGTATAATGGTGACGCTTTCGGCAGAACTTGCAAGTAACCTTGCTACATTTATGAGGTATCTGATAAGAATATAAACAATTATAACAAAGCTTATTAGCCTGTACATAGTCACTACGTTGTCGCGGCGTCATTGCTAAATACTTTCCACATCCTTGTAAATAATGTTTTTCATGACATAGTGGGCAAGTTTCAGAAGCTTGAGAAGTCGATACTTGAGACGTCCTCTTCATATGAGTATGCGGCATTGTATTAAATGTATTAGTATTCGTATTCTTATCCTTAACGTTTTCGAAAGCAACTGATCTGTAGTTTAAGAAATCTATTAAATCCAGCAATTTTGGCAGTTCAGTAGTTTGCCTGCTCAATTCCCATGCCATTCTTAAGGAATTGTCCAATTTATGTGTAATTAAATAAATCAATATTACTTCCGTTGTATCAACTTGCATCGTATTTAATGCATCTAAAGATTGTTGTAGATTACTAAGAAAATGTTTGATATTGTCTCTTGTAATGGTATTGTAATTCAATATTTTCAAGTGGTGATTGACAATCAACATTTTGTTTTCGTAGCGTTTCTCAAGTGTCATCCATGCGATGTCATAATTATCCTCTATAATTGGTAATGAGGAAATCAATCCTGCGGCTTCACCCCTTAGAAAAGACTTCAAGTAATAAAATTTTTCAATTTTAGTTAAATTGTTGTTGTTATTAATTACAGATAAAAATAAATTTTTAAAGTTATTCCAGTCCCTGATCTCTCCACTATATATAGGTATATTTAGTTGGGGTATAGGGACATGTATTGATTTCTGTATAGGAATGCTATTAGTATTAGAATTATCGTTTATTTTAATGTTTCTGTATTTCTCGTATATAGCTGTAGTTTCATAATATTTATTCTCAAAACTTCTCTCTCTATTATATCTGATTCTAAATCTTGTAGACACTCTATTTCTAATTGAATTTCCATAAAATCATCCAACATTTTTTCTAAATTTGTATATCTAGTTTTTATTTCATACGTTTTGCCGTGATTGTTGACATCACTAATAAATGTATAATGGCGTGTGAGATTGCCTTTTAATATTGCTCGTTTGCTAAGCAATCGCTTCAATTCAGCCATGCTGATTATTATATATTGTAAATATTAACGTATATAGTTATATCGTAATTTACTTACGGTTTGTATGTTGTATTGTAAGATCTGTTGATCGGACTTCTGTGTTGTCGAAGTCTTTTTTATTTATATGGTTACCTGTTGGTATATTCTGTTGAATAAATATTTTGCCATATGTTGGCTTTAAAAATCTCGAAGGACCACTAAATGTTTGTATTTGCCGGTTCTTTTATATATTATACATTATTATGTATGAAATCAAAGACTGTTGTCTGTTGACTTATGTGAATATATTTCAATTGTTTTTTATGATGTTTTTATTTATGTACAAAAAAGGTTTTAAACAAGAGATATAATAAATAAATAAAATTGGCGTTTTGTCGTACTGGCTACTTTGTTCTCAAATATCTCCTATTTGGTTAGGAATTGCAATTTCAAATTTATACAGCTATTTACTCGTGCATTTGTTTTTCGAAAACCGTAATCCATATGTTTTTTCCATCTTTGGTGTTTTCTTTGCATCGCTCAGTTTACATAAAGTGTCTGCCATTCGAGCCATATTTTGTGTCTAGCGGTTTACTAGGCACAAAATATGGCTCAATAAAAATATAGATATATATTTTTTTCCACAATTATTTCGAATGGCAAACACTTTATGTAAACTACCTTATTTCCGATGGTCGTGGGTCCGATTCCTCGCGAGGTACAAACATTTGTATTCATGAGTAGGTATAATTGTTTGTATCGGTCTGCGTGTTTTCTATGTATTTACAAAAAAAAATATCTAAGTATTTATAGCAGTTGTACAGTACCCATAATACAAGCTCTGCTTACCGTGAGACTAGATGGCGCCGTGTTAATTGTCCAGGGCAATTTATTTATTATAAATTTGAAAGAGTTTGTAAACTTGGTAACTCTGACTTCCCTACTTTTGTTGTAAGCAGCTTTGTCTAAAATACACGCAGATATGGTAGTAAAATCACAAAATACGTAATCATGACACCTTGATTCATTGAACACTAGCCGTCACCCACGATTTTGTCCGATTGTTTTTTTTTAATAAATAAAATTACTAAAAATAAAGTAGCTCAGTAAGCAAGTACTAAGTTACTCTTTAAAAGATTAAATGTTAGCTTGTGAATGTCCCGTCAAAATCAGCTCAGCCGTTTCAAAGAGAAAGACAAGAACAAACAGACAGAGAGAAAGACAAGTAAAAAGCTATTAATTTTGATTTACAAACAGACGATTCAATTTTATTTATATATATGAAAATGGGTATGAAGTGATCACATCATATGTACTTGTGTATTATGTACTTATAGGCGAACGTTGCCATTTTCTACCAGAAGTGAGCATGCATCCTATTTAAATTATTAAAAAAAATGTTCCTTTACGGATATGTACATTAAATTAATGTTATATTTATTAAAACAAAATATTCCTTTACCAAACTGCACCTTAAATTAATATATTATTAACTAGCTGTTTTTTTAACTAACTTAACTTTGTACTTTAATTTAACTTTGTTTTTTTAAATAAAAGAATTTTTCCAAAATAAATGTAGCCTAAGTTACTCCTTATTACATCAGCTACCTGCCAAAAAAAGTCCCATCAAAATCGGTCCATTTTAAAGATTAGCCGGAACCACATACAGACAGACAAAAATAAAAAAAAATGACATTTCGGTGTATGTGCCGTATTTATATTCATATGCATGTGATAAAAACAGTTATTTCAAAATTACAAACAGACACTCCAATTTTATTTATATGTATAGATTACGGCAAGGATTGGTAAAGGATTATTTTTTAATAACTTGGTATTAATTTACGGCCCTGATTGTTGAAGGAATCTATTTTTTAGTAACTGGATGTAAACATAAGGGGCTGATGGTTAAGGAATAATTATTTTATTAACTGGTATATTATGTATGCTGACTTCTTGTAGAAAAATGACGCCTATAAACATTAACATCCTCATATCCATGAATCATATCCATGTAAACCAATATGGGACAAACCACAACACCAATGGAATATTCCAGAATTTATATTAGTATTATTATGTCCTGCAGATTAATAGTGTATTTTAGTACATATTATTAATTATAGCTGTTCTATTGTCAGTTTGCGGTTTCTTGTTCATTGTTGTACATCTAATCCTATATCTAATCCTTGTTAATGTGTGTTTATTTAGAACTGTTCCCGAGACTTCGTCCGCGTGGAATTATATTTTATTTTTCTAAAATGAAAGAACTTTTCTAAAACAATAGTAGCTGATGTAATAAGGAGTAACTTATACTCCTTATTACATCAGATACCTGCCAAAAAAGTCCCGTCAAAATAGGCCAGCTATTTAGCCGGAACAAACAGACCGACAGACAAAAATTGTAAAAAATGTTATTTTGGTGTACGTACCATATTTACATTCATATGCATATAGTAAAAACAGTTATTTCAATATTACAAACAGACACTTCAATTTTATTTATATGTATAGATAACATTTATTTGACGACCTCGGTGGTCTAGCGGTTTGGCACACCGCTTTACTTACGATGGTCGCAGGATGAATTCTTGAGTTTGATTACAGAAAAAAATTATGTATTTTTATCAGTTGTCTAGTATCTATAATACAAGCTCTGCTTACTTTGGAACTAGATGGCGCTGTGTGAATTGTCCACGGATATTATTATTATTTAAAAGAGCAACATGTAAGTTTCTTGCTTGTCCTTCTTGTGATGAGTCTGCGTTTCAAATGAGTGGTAGAATGAAGAAATATAACTATTCAAAAGTGCTTATACCAAGTTTATTATTTCTATTATATTTGATTGTAGTTTCTGCCATTTAATAATATCACACAATAGTCTAAATATATATAACTCAAAGGTGACTGACATAGTGATCTATCAACGCCCAGCCTAAACCACTGGACGGATCAGACTGAAATTTGGCATGCAGGTAGATGTTACGACGTAGGCATTCGCTAAGAAAGGATTTTGATTAATTCTACCCCCAAGGGGATTAAATAGGGGATGAAAGTTTGTATGATACTTTGTCAATTTTAAACCGATCGGGCTGAGACTTTGCATGCATAAAGCTACTATGACGTAGGCATGATTTCACGTGTTTAAAGCGTATAGTCAGTCGATTTACAAATGTGCTCTGTGGTGTAGTTATTCATTATATAAATTTAATTTAATTTCTTTATTTCAACAGAGCCTCACAGAAGATATACCAGCTCTCAACTCCTGTCTTCTGCGTCCGCCACGGAAGCTGTTCACCAATTGCAGGGAACGTTGGCGCCAGCAGAATGTCAGTGGTGCCTTTGCTGAGCTACGAAGGCTCGTGCCTACACATCCTCCAGACAAAAAGCTGTCCAAGAATGAAATTCTCAGGATGGCTATCAGGTAAGCTATTATAATAATAATATTTCGATGGTTTTGGTAGTATAGCAGTTTGAAACACCACTCCACCAATCCATGATTGCAGTTCGATGCAAATATTTGCATTCATGAGTATGATTACTTGCAATCGGAATGGCTAGGTGTTGTCTATATTTATATTATACACAGTCTGGGCCAATAGTTCGCGGACTGGGCCGTATAGTATATAGTATCAAAAGATTTCATTAAAGAGGTAACCAAACATTGTATCAATGTTTGTCGAGCAAACATCAAGTTCTGTTTGAAACTTGAAAAAAGTGCTACAGAATTTTTTCAAATGACAAATAATGTATATGTAGAGTAAGATGGTCGTGAAGAAGTTGAGGACGATTTCCGGTTAGGACGACCAAAAGTAGGACGCAGCGATGATAATGTGAGGATATCACGGTGGAATATTAGTTTGCAGTCATGAAATGCCTGCTGGACTGAGTTCATCACATAAGGCCAGAATATCGGCAACAAAGTGTGAACAAACGTGGAGTCTCCTCCATGATAACGCGCTTGCTCACAAGGCAATGATTGCGACGGAGTATTTGGCCAAAAAGGGCGTTGTCGCAATTGAACATCCGCCTTATTAGCCAGATTTGTACCCAGCGAACTTCTGGCTATTTCCTAAACTAAAAATGGCGATGAAGGGCAGGTCTTTTTACTCCATAACGAAGATTCAAAGTAGCATTACCGGCGTCCTGAAGTGGCTTGGAAAAGAGGAGTTCTCTGACTGCTTCCAATATTTTAATAGATTATTCCAACGTTTTATCAATGAGGAAGGGTTATATTTTGAATAAATAAATTGAAACATGTTTTATTTGACCAACCGTTTTGTTTTTATGCGACCAGTCCGCCAATTTTTGGGCCACACTTTGTAGATTTAATAGAAAACTTTAAAAATTTATTTGCACAGTTTATTTATTTTTCCTCTTTATAATATTAGTATAGATAAAAATGATTATAACTCCATCATATAATTTTGACGTGAACTAAGAATAGACAACTTATTCTTTATTATATCATATACTTTTTATTTTCAAGGTACATAGGTCTACTTTGTGAGGTTCTGGAATGGCAGAAGACACATGGCCATTCTATGAACAAGGAAAACACAGCAAACCTAGCTATAAAATGCGAATCACCTCTCAGTCCCCATTCGAGGCGTATTCGTCTCAAAAGGCCATATTTCAACGACGAAGACTATCCAAAACCTAGAATTTACCACGAGAACTCCGATTACCAAAAATATGGGAATGAAGAAAACGAGGAGTCTATTACACGGAGAAATTATCAGAGAAATGCTAGTTGTCGTGAATTTTTCTTTGGAAAAGATCATGTAAAAATTCTACGAAATCAGTATCACCTCCCTACGAAATGGCGGCAGAATATACCGTTCAGAAACTTAGGAGATCGCAACAGCAACAATCTGTTGATGATAGCACCAGCCCAGAACGGCAGAGAGAATGACAGTAAGAATTCAAACGGCAATTCTAAGGAGAAGAGTGATGGTAAAAACATCGAGAAATAGAACATGCGAATGAAATGAAGAATGAAACAAGATATTCAAGATTTTGGATATTTAAGTGGTAGAGAATTTATGTATATTTTAATCTACTTACTGTACTAGTACAGCATTGTATTTCGATTCGCTCATTCTATTTCACCGGGGCAGAATTTATTCATTGGCTGTATGGATATATGCCTCCCTTACCTATTTTTGCTGTGTAAGCTTTCATAGTAAGCTGTGTTCTAGTTTAGAGTAGTTATTTTTAATGATAATAGGATTGTACACCCATCTGCGCTAACGGTTTATGCTAGTGAGGCACCAGTAGAGGATGATACGATGTCAGGTCAGTTAGCCCATGGTGATGAATTCACCACGAATTAATAATGATGGTTTCTAGTGAGAACCGTGTAGAGGTCAACTTGACGTGGTAAATTGCTAGCAATAGGATCAACATTTCACATTATAACAATCCCCTTTTGTAGTAGTTAGATGTGGTCACTACCATATCTATCTAGACCTTCTTGTTGCAATTGCAGGAATCATTACGGTAGGTGATAAAACTATTTCATGAGCAGTGTTACAGGAGTTATGTCATGACATGATGTGGAGATGCTATTAAAATCTATTGACAATGGTTGTTATTCTCCATTAGCTGGCGACTCAGTATGGTGGCCACTCTAGATATATAAAAAATCACTATACCATAAATGTAAATGTAACTTACAGTATATTGTAAATTTCAAAAATCTAGTCTTAACCTTACCTTGTATAATATTTATATATATTACAAATTTGGTAGAAAATATTACGTTCCATATAAACTAGTTCCAGATTGTACTAAATTTTAGTTCATTTTACAAATGAGATGCATCCACAATGTACCAATTTCTTCTTGCAAAGTCAGATGGAGACGACAACAGATTTCTGTGTTACGTTGCAGGTATTTTTATCTAAAGTTCTAATTATTTTCTTACTTTTATGATAATTTTACCAGTGGATACTTCGTATAGCCGTGTGGTAACGGCAGAGAATATTACCACCCTGAAATTTAATCACTGGGAATCGTAAGAGGCGATTGAGAGACAAATCCCTAAGACTATCTAGGGTTAGTGTCAGGCAGGCGGCCGGCTATAAAATTTTGCCAAAACTCACTTTTTAAGTCACAAAAAGAGTAAATGGAACACATAGATAACATGTGCATAAAGGCTAGGGCGTACTCCTTAAACGACGCGCAGGGGCAGCACCACCACGGCTCCTGTGGGAAACGATTCAGGGTTGTTGCACCATACTGGGCGGGTGCAACGTAAGAAGGAAGTCCAGGATCTGAGATTAAGATATGCGAGCTGGAACATGGGCTCAATTAAGAATAGACAAGTAGAATTAGCAGAGGTATTGGAAAAAAGACGAATAAATATCGCATGTATACAGGAGACGAAATCTGAAAAAATTGGTGAGATAAACCTTCAGAAAGGATACTGTTAAAGGATAATGCTTTACAACAGTGGAAATAATGAAAGAAAATGGAGTAGCAATCGTATTAGATAGTCATTTAATAAAGTATGTGACGAATGTGAATACACTTAACGATAGAACAATAGCTGCAAAATTGAAAATAGGAAAGATAATTCTGAATATTGTATGCATATAAGCTCCTCAGATTGGACATACTGATGAGACAAAAACATTATTTTGGATTAGTTGAGAATCTGTAATTGGGAATATTTCCAGTACAGAGGAAATTTGTATAGGTGGTGACTTTAATGGACATGTGGGTAAAATAAATGAAGGATATGAGAGAGTTTACGGAAATCGGGGATATGGAGAACGTAACAATGATGGAGACACCTTGCTGCAAGCTGCATTAGCGTTCGATTTGGTAGTCGCTAATACCTGGTTCGAAAAAAAAAGACGAACATCTAATTACCTACAAAAGTGAAAAAAAAACATACAACGCAAGTTGATTACTTTTAATACCAAGAAATAAAATTAAATGTGTTAAAAGTTGCAAGGTGACACCAACTAATGTAAAAGATGACAAAATAATATTGCAACATCAACTATTAATTCTTGATACGACAATCAATATACAGCTGAACCGAAGAAAAAATCTGGTATTTCCTAAAATAAAATGGTATAGGCTACAAGAATATAAGACTGCGTGTAAATTTAGAGAAAATTGTCTTGATAACATGGAAAAAATAAAACCCAGAAGGTAAAACGGTTAACGAAAGTTGGAATGAAATAGCGAATTCGGAGAGAAGTATAGCTATAGAAATGCTTGGTGTATCAAAAGGCATTAGAATGAAGAATGTAGAAAAGAAACTAAGATTTACATATAGCATATACTAATTAAATTGTTGTTGGCGTGTGGTGCCGCCGTAAGAATAGCACCACCCCCTGTCTTCTCGTGGGTGTCGTAAAAGGCGACTAAGGGATCGACCAGTGGACGGGCAGCAGCGTTCTACTGAGTAACTACCATCACACTGCGATCGCCAACCCGCATGCCAAGCGCGGCGATTATGGCAATATCCCCCCAAAATGGGGGAGGCCTTTGTTCTGTAGTGGACGCCATCGGGCTGAGATAATAATAATAATAATAAAATTGTGCGTGTGGTGTCGCCGTAAGAATAGCACCACCCCCTCTCTTCCCGTGGGTGTCGTAAAAGGCGACTAAGGGATCGAGCAGTGGACGGGCAGCAGCGTTCTACTGAGTAACTACCATCACACTGCGATCGCCAACCCGCATGCCAAGCGCGGCGATTATGGCAATATCCCCCCAAAATGGGGGAGGCCTTTGTTCAGTAGTGGACGCCATCGGGCTGAGATAATAATAATAATAAAATTGTGCGTGTGGTGTCGCCGTAAGAATAGCACCACCCCCTCTCTTCACGTGGGTGTCGTAAAAGGCGACTAAGGGATCGAGCAGTGGACGGGCAGCAGCGTTCTACTGAGTAACTAACATCACACTGCGATCGCCAACCCGCATGCCAAGCGCGGCGATTATGGCAATATCCCCCCAAAATGGGGGAGGCCTTTGTTCAGTAGTGGACGCCATCGGGCTGAGATAATAATAATAATAAAATTGTGCGTGTGGTGTCGCCGTAAGAATAGCACCACCCCCTCTCTTCCCGTGGGTGTCGTAAAAGGCGACTAAGGGATCGAGCAGTGGACGGGCAGCAGCGTTCTACTGAGTAACTAACATCACACTGCGATCGCCAACCCGCATGCCAAGCGCGGCGATTATGGCAATATCCCCCCAAAATGGGGGAGGCCTTTGTTCAGTAGTGGACGCCATCGGGCTGATATAATAATAATAATAAAATTGTGCGTTTGGTGTCGCCGTAAGAATAGCACCACCCCCTCTCCTCCCGTGGGTGTCGTAAAAGGCGACTAAGGGATCGACCAGTGGACGGGCAGCAGCGTTCTACTGAGTAACTAACATCACACTGCGATCGCCAACCCGCATGCCAAGCGTGGCGATTATGGCAATATCCCCCCAAATGGATTTACACCCAAGGCTCTGGCCCCCAGTCCCCGGCAGCCCCGCTAGTCTTGACCATGGTAGCGGTCATGGAAACGGCAGGGCAGGGGGTGCGAAGAATCCCCGGGTAAGAACAGGCTACCACAAACGACGATCACTGGCCCTGGCAACATACAACGTTCAAACACTGCGGACCAACGAGAAGCTAAAACTTTTGGAGAAAGGGTTGAGCAAATTGCACTGGCATGTCGTGGGATTATGTGAAGTCCGAAGAACGGGGGAGGGCCCGACAGTCCTGGAATCCGGCAATATGCTATACTTCTGGGAGGGTGATCGTCTGTCCCAAGGCGGTGTCGGGTTCCTCGTCCACAAGACCCTGGTGAGTAATGTTATCAACGTCGAGAGCGTGTCGACTAGGGTAGCGTACCTGATACTCAGAATTACTAGACGGTATTCGTTGAAGGTCATTCAAGTGTACGCTCCAACTTCGACGCACTCCGATGATGAGGTTGAGGCTATGTATGAGGATATCTCCAGCGCCATACACAGTACAAAGACTCATTATAACATTATCATGGGGGACTTTAACGCAAAATTGGGCAAACGAATCGGTGATGAGCTGAGAGTGGGGCAATTTGGTATCGGTGACCGGAACATCCGGGGTCAAATGCTGGTCAACTTCATGGAGAAGGAGAGCCTCTTTATGATGAACTCCTTCTTCAAGAAGCGGGAACACCGTAAATGGACGTGGATTAGTCCCGATGGTGCCACAAAAAACGAGATAGATTTCATCTTGTCAACGAGAAGACAGATTTTCAATGATGTCTCTGTGATCAATTTCGTCAATATTGGGAGCGATCACCGGATGGTAAGAGGCACATTGAATCTGAATCTAAAACTCGAACGATCCCGACTGATAAAATCTACGCTCCGCCCACGGAGCGTAGATTTTATCAGTCGGGATCGTCTTGGGAGACCTACACAGATCCAAAACCCTGAAAGCTTCCAGCTAGAATTGCAAAATTGTTTCGAATGCTTTGGTGATTGCGCTGACGTGGACGATTACAACAACAGGTTCGTGGAAACTATCCGTGCGGCTGGGTCTAAGCACTTCAAAACCCGCCACGCAGAAAGAACCGGAAAAATATCTATATCTACCCTCAAACTAATGGATGAAAGGCGTAATATGGTTCTGCAGTCTCCAAATGACGTTTCCCAGTATAGGCAACTTAGCAAGCAGATCTCTAAGTCCTTGACTCGTGACTTACGTCACTTTAATACAAATTATGTAAAGGAGGCTATTGAGAAAAACAAGGGCTCAAAAGTCTTTAACAGGGATCTGGCTGCCGGACAGGGCCAGCTGACGTACCTTAAAACGGATGATGGCAGGATTGTATCGTCTAAACCCGAAATTTTGAGGGAAATTGAGAAGTTCTATGGACAGTTATACACGACAACACGGGCACCTGTTACCAACACGACGAAAGACCCTAGAGCCAAATTAACCCGACACTATACCGAAGATATCCCGGACGTCAGCCTGGACGAGATTAGTATGGCTCTGAAACAACTTAAAAACAATAAGGCGCCGGGTGATGATGGAATCACCGCTGAGCTTCTGAAGGCTGGAGGTAGACCTGTTCTACAAATCCTTCAGAATCTTTTCAACTCCGTCATCCTCGATGGCAGAACGCCTCAAGCGTGGCAAAGGGGTGTGGTGGTTCTGTTCTTCAAGAAGGGAGATAAATCGCTTCTGAAGAATTTCAGACCCATAACACTGCTGAGCCATGTTTATAAGTTGTTTTCGACAGTCATCACGAATCGTCTCGCGCGTAGGTTTGACGACTTCCAGCCTCCCGAACAAGCCGGATTCCGAAAAGGCTTCAGTACCATAGACCACATTCATACGCTGCGGCAGGTAATTCAGAAGACCGAAG